TCAGGTTTAAAGTGCTTTTCTTAGTTTTTATACATTAAAAAGTACTAATACGTCATTTATATTAACAAAACAATTTTTGAAAGGTTTTTGTTCGCGCAACTTTAATCAATAGAGTGATTATATTGTATTTAATGAAAAATATATTTTATACATTTCAAAATCACTTAAAAGTCTTAGAAAATTTGATGATTGAATTTAAACGCAAGATAGCGTCGGTATAGATTTATTTAGTTTTTTTACACAAATGATGCCTTTTTATTTTTTCAATTAAATTATTTAGGTGCAAAACTCGCTAAACGCGCTTAATCAATAGAGTGATTATATTGTATTTAATATAACATATATTTTATACATTTCAAAATCACTTAAAAGTCTTAAAAAATTTGATGATTGAATTCAAACGCAAGATATCTTCGATATAGATTTATTTCGTTTTCTTTACACAAGTTATGCCTTTTCATTTTTCCAATTAAATTACTTAGGTGCAAAACTCGCTAAGCGCGTTTAGCGAGTTTTACACGTAACTCGAAAATATTTGACAAGAGCTGAGAATAAGACGTTGAACAAACTGAACACGCATACAAAAATACAAGCTGAAAATGAATTCTGTCTCGTTCAGTTACAAAGATAACAGGAAGTAAAAATATCTATGTTACTTTTAGATGATTATATTAAATATATTATTACCTGCACATTTAGAAAAAATACATCACTAAAAAGTAAAATTAATGCATAAAAAAAGATTCGCAGCAAAAGTTCTAGATTTCTACTCAGGACGTATTATTCGCTTCAATATGTATTTGGTAACAATGAGTTTTCAATGGCTATATCTTTCACTAAAAAGAAGGGTACTGTGCCTTATAATCAGTTTACTCTGCGGTGGTTAACACTGTAAGAAAATTCCGGATAAAAGTATGGCAAAAAGTAACGACACGGAAAGGTGCCAATAATTTTATCGTATGAAATTCGAGTAAAAAAAATATAATTCTAGTACTATATTATGCCTGATTAAAAAAAAAACATAGTTCTAGTTAATAAAACTTAAATATATGGTATTTAAAAAAAAATTCTTGGTATTTTTTTCGTTCATAAGGTATCAGTTTGTTGGAAACTCTGGTTTTCAAAATTATACTTTTTATTGCCACACATTTAGAAAAAATAGGAAAGTAAAATGCAAGTATAACTAAATAAATGTTTTTCATACATTGCTCATTGGTCTTGAAAAAGCTACCAAATTTTAACACTTATTATAAAACTATATTTTATTGCTAATTTTACTAAAATCATTGCCAAAGTGCTTCGATAACAATTACTGAGGTGCTGTTGCTTCCGTAGAGTCATTCCTGGCTCTATGGGAGTAACAGCACGGTAAATGTAATCATATTTTGGTAATTTTGACACTGCTGATTTTTCAGTCCATCAATAGAGGTTTGAGCTGTTTATTTTATGCAATAATGTGCCTTAATATGACACCTTATTAAGGTTTTAGCTAATTTACACCCTATTTTGGTTCAACAAACGCCACAGTTATAAAAGCGTAAATTTAAGCAACAGCAATTATGTATTTATGTTATAAGACAATTTAAAAACCGTACACCCATTTCGAATCAGAAACATTACTCAAAAGACAATAAATTTTATAAAAAGTAAAAATAGCAATGTATACTTAAGAATACTTAAAACGACGGCTTTACTTCAAATATTCTGCTCTTCTGCGAAATCAATTTATGTGTTTTGCGTAATTCACCGACTTTTTTCATGTGTTTGGCATTTTTTCCTTTCTAATTACAAAACTAACAACAGGTCGAATGCATACTAATGTAATCCTGTCTTTTTTTTTTTTTTTTCTTTTGTAAATGTGTTTTATAAAAATATTAACCACATGTTGATTTGAAGGCTGATTTCCAGACAAATTGTATATTTTGTTGATAAAAAAACAATACAATAAATTAAACAACTTTACTTAAAAATGCTACTAAAAATACGATAAAAATTTGTTTTCCCAGATGTTAGTTTGTTACAAGTAAGGATACTATATTCTTTTATTTAAATTCTGCAAATAGTCGACTTTTATTAAAATAATAATTATGTATTTCTTTAAATAAAATATATTATTTTTAAAATAAAAATTGTGCAAGTAGGTAGTTAGGTACTTAATTTACGTTGCTCGAGAGTTACACAATGGACTATTGACGACGGTCTGGGAAACATCCCTAAGAATGATCCGAAGACATGATACCGCAATTTTGATCCTCCACAGAGGGGATGGCTCCCTTGCTTTGGTAGCTCGATGATCTGCACGTGAATTCCAGCACTTTACGATAGAACAGTTTAACTAGGACCGACACCGCATTCCCTCAGTCCCTACGCAAGCTGATCAAAGTGGTCACCACCCGCTTAGTGAGCGCTGCCAGTGATGTTTGACTTCGGTTTTCTACTGGGAACCGTGTCTCTACTATCAGTCCACTGCGAGACTAAAGCAAATTATGCACAGTGTCTCGTCAATTTGCCATCGTGGGGAAATTAATAGAGAATAATTCGTCGGGTCGACAGTTCATCGTCTGTACAATTCACGGAGGCTGACAGTTTGTAGAAGGCGCAATTCGCCACAGGCACAGTTCGTCTTGGTGACAATTCACAGATGGCACAGCTTGTCTCGGGCTCGTTCCGTCAAGAGCACAGATCTTTCCAGGAACAATTGGTCGCAAGTACAATTAATTGAAGTGACAATTCGACGTGAGCACCATTTCTTGCGGTTTTGATAAAATACACGTATTTACGATGACAAAACTCTATCATTATCTACTAAAGCTAGCTAAACATTTAATTAGTGGCCGTCCAAATAATACAAAAGCATCTCAGGGAGAGAAGTTTGTGATTTGCCTATTGTTACTTAAAAGTTATGCGAGTAAGGCTTGAGTAAAGCATTAAATCTAAAAAGAAAGTTGTAACGTCCAGCGTCCTTAGTTTCTTGCGTAATAATTTCGAGAAAAAAATATGAACAGTTTGCAAGATAATTTTTAATTTGCATTACTCTTGGCTAAACATTTGTATTAATCGTAACATAGCAAGAAATGTAATTTGTTGCTGAAAATATTTTACATTACCCTAATTTAATTTTTCAAACTTAATACTTTTCTTAAGCATATTTTCAGAATTTATTATTTTCCTTCATTTAATTTCAGTTTTTGCAACAGTATTCTTTGAATTCAAAAAAGAGAAACTTCATACACTTTGCTATCACACATAAAAATAAAAGACTTTTACAACATATACTAGGGGCGTCTCATTGACAAACTGGGGCGCTGTTAAAGATATAGGACCAGAAAAAAGTTTTAGAATTAAATGAAAAATAAAGTTTTTTTTTAATTTTTTAATCTAAAAGATCGGAATTTTACATAATACGGTGCTCTCTAAATAGTGGAAAAGGCAGGCATTAAATTGAGCAAATTAAATGCTGTAATTGATAGATAAATTATGTTTAATTATGTTAAGTTATATTAAATGAAGACAAACAGTAAGGGTGTGATATAATGAGCATGATATATTGAAATAAATCCGCTAATATAACTCATTTAGAGTTCTAGTCAAAATCTAAACAGTAAAGATAGAAAAAAAAATTTAAGTTTTATAGACTGTTAAAAATGATTAATTTAGGAAAATATATCTTTCTGTAGTTTATATTTAAAATATCATTAGAAAAAGGTTTAAATGGAAAAATTTTAATTTTTGGTGTCAATATAGAAAAGCGAAAAACGAACTTTTTCATCTTATACTTTTAACCCTTATATTTATAAGGCACTGTGCGTACGTTATATTCTCCCCAATAATATAAAACTTCTACTATTTGTGAGATTTCTGTCATGCACTTCAAAAGAATGCACTCTTTGTTGACTACTTATCTATCATTCTTCTTTATTTCCCGAAATTCTAATTTGCCGTTAAAATTAGCATTGATAACAATGAATACTAATCACTACATTAGTATACCAAATTTTTGTGCACTGTGCGGACGTTATATTCTCCCCAATAATATAAAACTTCTACTATTTGCGAGATTTCTGTCGTGCACTTCAAAAGAATGCACTCTTTGTTGACTACTTATCTATCATTCTTCTTTATTTCCCGAAATTCTAATTTACCGTTAAAATTAGCATTCATATCAATGAATACTAATCACTACACTAGTATACCAAATTTTTGTCTTAAGAAAAACTGAAACAAAAATTAGATATGACGTAAAATATATATTGATAGATTCATAATAATTTTTTCAATGAATTCATTTTTCAAACTTTCTTTTCCAAGTTTAAAATGTATATAAAAATACAATTTCGGACTTTTTGGTTCAAATTGTACAAATGAATCAAATCATTTAAATAAATTACTTATTCCTTATGGAATTTCTACCTTCTCTAATAAATATAGAATCCTATTTGATAGTTAATATAAACTTACAATCTAAGCGAATTTAAAATTTAGTTTAGATCTATATTAGTTTTTTAAATAGCTTTAAATGTTTAGCAACTATTTGAAATCTAGTTATTTATTTATTACGCTTTTTTTAAATGTTAGCAAACTTTCCTTTTAGGAGGTATGCAGTTCATTAAATTGTTTTAGAGTTGCTTTGAAAATAATAATTTTTGACAACAAAGAAAAAAACTAATAAAAAAATTATAATAATAAAGTTAATTGAACTAGGTCAATTAGAATACAATTTTACTAAATGATAAACAATTTCATATATTGTAATAGCATAGAATTTCCTATAACCTTTTATCACATTTTAATACCCTAAAATTAAGTAAAACTAAAAATAAACTAAGAAATAAATGGAAAATTCTTGAAATTTAGTCAACATAATAACAAAAATAGAAACTTAATATTTTATCACAAATATAAATAGTAAAATTAACTATAAGTACGGACTTAATTCTTTAAAATAAGTATAATTCTCAAAATCAGGTCTACTGGAATAAATAACTTAGAAAGTTACTTACCATTTTCGGTGTTCCGTGCAGAGTGATTATTTTTACTATGTACCACTGAATTATAAACTGTGAAAAATGAATACATCTATAGACTGCTGGATTCCGAAGTACCATTTGGAGTCAAAGATCTGAATCTCGTAGAGGGTGCAACAACACTGCGAAGAGTCTCTGTGTGTGTGACTTGCAAAGTACTTGTAAAACTCTGATTCTTTGTGCGCCGGAAACCACAGAACATGTGCAAAAACATTTTTTTAAATTTCTGTCCAAATATGCAGTAAATGACAAAGTTTATTGATGAGTTGAATGTCACCAGAAGATTAGACACGCGGACTAAAGCTGGGACAACAAGGTCGAACAACTCTAATATATTGATCAGCAGGGCAAGAATGTTACAGACAAAGAAGATAGCAACCACACAAATGAGCATCATGGCCAACCCGATTTCTTTCTCTTCTCTCCGAGTAAGCCTTTGTCTGTCTTTGTTGGCATGTTGCACAGCTCGCCAAATAAAAATATTCAGTACAGCAAGAGTTAAGAAAGGTATAAAGTACATCACAAAGAGATACAACCATATATAGTAAACTTTATAATACAGCTTGTTCATACGAAATTCACTTGGTTTTGCCATATAAACACTCGAATTAGAACCTGGATCAAGCACCTCTGTAACATCTATCTCCCAGAATCTGGGTATGTTGTAACATACAGCAAAGACTACAATTAGCAAATTAAAGATTCTCGCTCTCCTATAAGTACAAAGAAATCTAGCCTTAAGAGGATGGCATACTGCAACATATCTTTCAACTGTTACACCTACAGTAGTCCATACTGATCCTGTTTGAGCGATCAAGCCTATAGGGTAAGCCACCATGACCACAAAGGGGAACATCTCAAAAGTGTAGCGATATAAAATGACCAGTTTGTATCCTAATTTGTGCAGTCCAAGCATTGTAATCGATGATATAAGAACAATTGTGTCAAAGAATGCAAGCCCTTGAAGACCACAATTGACTGAAGATCTCATTTCTGGTCTGGATAGAATAATCAATGAAATGACATTTCCGAAAATTCCCAAAAGCCCAAGGAATGTTAATATTGCACCTTCTGTTATAAATTCGAACATGGTTATTTCTGGAATAACGATTGTTATATTTTCGTAGATGAAGGATTCGTTTACTTCCATTTTTTGCTGGGCAATAATTAAAACTATTGTGCAATACCTTTTAAAAATTTTTCCCTTAATGGGTTCATAAGGGATCCTTGCTTAATTAGAGTTTATAAACAGTTATTTTAAATTAAAAACATTTTAGTCAATCTAACAAACTAAGTAAAAATATTTTTAAATCACATTTACAATTATAAAAATATAGCAATATTCGGAATAAATAAATTTGAATTTGTTTAACGCTTGTTGCACTAATTTGAGTACTAATTTGATTTGTGCTAATTAATCCGAAAAGAATATTTCATAATTTTGAATCAAGGAAGAAAATTCTTATTGAAAACTAAGAAAACTCTTATTTATTATTTTCTGAGAGTTAAATTTTACACTTCAAAAAAAAAATTCAGAAAAATAAATTATTTTTTAAAATTGTGCTTCATTATTCACAATGTCCATTCTATATAAGTATGCCTAATTAAACTATACATTATATTCATTCTGAAAATATCGCATGCAAAATAACAAACATATATTTAAGATTATAATTCTTAAGAATATTCAATTTATGACATACTTGTTGTCAGATGTACTACAAATATGATAAATTAAATTATTTTATTTATTTAAAAAACTTGTTTCGTTTTGTACTTCTAAGGGCTCATTTGTAAAATAGTTTTAAATACATATATAGTTTTACACTAACAACTATTAATTATACAAGTATTTACAACAATAAATAAAGAAAAGATTGAAATTAACATAAAAAGAACTAGCAGTTTTATGAAAATTACTTTTATGTGTTTCTTACTTTTAAATCATTTTACTTCTTTCTACAATCTGCACTACCATTTCCAATTTCGTTAAATATTTTTAAAAGCACCACTGCTTAAAGGAACATATTGTAATCACAATTTATGTGGTAAAAGTAATAAATTAATTAATTGCTTAGGACTATAAATAAAAATATATTTATCGAAATATTTGATTCTCAGGTTTTATCTAATAAAACTATTAGATAAAATATTTATAAACTATTAGTTAAAATGGGTTAAATATGAATCGTCAAGAAGCGAACACTAAAAATAATTTTACTTCCACTTTCTCCTGTTGATCCTCGATCATTAATTAATTTTTAACCGAAAGTAATTTCCCCAACAGAACTTGTGAGAACTTTCAAAAACATCGACTTGCATTTCAGCGCTACAGATTTCATCTATTTGCTCTGTGGAAAACAGCTCCGCTGAGATGCGGAAAATCTGTTAAGACAGATGGCGCTGCGGTCGAGAAAGTTTTTCCGAGAAGAGGGGGGAAAGTGAAACAGGAATCAATGTTTCAGGAAAGTTCCTTTTATAACCAGTGAGGAAGTTCTTGAGGAAAGATGCCAGGAATTAAAACTTTTTAATACGACGTTGTATCCTAAATTTAAAATGGCCAAATAAATAACTTGATAAGGAAAAGATTGATTGTGTTATGGCATTGTATTTTAAATTCTCATGAGGATCCATAAATTTGTATTCAAAAATTCTAAATATCCGTTTGGTTTTACTATACTAACTATTTAATTTCAGGTTTCCTCCATCATATAAAAATATCAGATAAATAGCATAAAGAGAGAAATTAAAATTAGTATTTGTTGGAATATTGGATATTGTGGTGTTCTGTGATAAAGACGAAAAAGTTTACACAATACGAGTCTAATTAAAATATAAAAGAAATGAATGACAATCTAGCATAAATTTAAAATCTCAAAAATTAAAACGCAATTTTGTTTAATTATATAAAATATAGAACAGTCTTATGTTCCCTTATAAAAGCATTGTCTAATGCAAATCATGCCTTCCCAGTGTTTGATTGTTTAATTTCTGACTCATAGCTTTCTGAAATACCATTATCGTCTCAAAATGTCCCTTTTTAATTTTTAAATATCTGGTTTACTTTATTAACATGAATTACTTTTAATATTATTTTGTTAATTAAACTTTTTACTAACAACCTGCTTCCTATAAATATAAAGGACAAAAAAATAGCTTGATAGGGAAACCAAGATTATTTATTGGATTATGGAATATCAAGTCAAAATTTTCCAATGGTACATAAAATTGCATTCTAAAACTAATAAATACTGATTTAATTTTATTCTACTTACTAAATTACTTAAGACCTCAATTGTTTCCAGAATAACAAAAATGGCTAATAAATGGGTATCAAAATAGAGAAAAAGTAGGATGAAATACAATAATTAGTAATTTTACTATGAATCAAAAAAATGCATCTTGGGAATTTTTTTTATTTTAAATAAAGCATTAAATAAATTTTGATTCGGATTTTTTTAAATGTAAGAATTTAAAGTTTTTGTAAGTTCATTTCTTAAATATTCAAATTTTTTTTCTCTAGTCCTCCTTTTTCTTTGAATAGGTGACTGACTTCTCACACCTGCAGAAACTTTCCACAGGTGTTTGATAAGAGTTTGTAGGAATTAATCGCCTTGCATTCATCACAGCTGAATTGAGTGCTGTCACAGCAGATGGTTGATTTGGCTAGCTGCGTAATCTTTGTTCTCATCCATCCCTAAAAATTTGTATGGGATTTAGATCAGAGATCCAATCCACTATCCACTTTCAAAAGCATAACAAAAGAAAATATAAATGTGGCTTTGGATAACTTTGGAAATACTAACTCAGTGATGTAGCCCTCAGGTGCCATCCACTTTTATCGTTAATCTTACCTCACATAACGAAAAAAAAAATATCTTTGAAATATTTTTTTTAAAAAATCTCTTACTTTACAACAATGGCTACGATGCAAAACAGAAAATAACTCATTTATCAGACTTTTTTTCTGCACAAGCTATTTAAAATTTCAGTTTATTGTAAATTTTTGCATAGTTTAAAAAAAAATTGAAACCCGTAACCGATATATATATATATATATATATATATCCGTCGTTGAACAGCCGACCCAATTTTTGGGTTTACGACTACCAATGTTCATCTCCGCTGCCTTGTACTTTTGAACCAATCCAGAAGACATGGAAACTCCAGGATCAGTACCCCCAGAGGTTTTGATTTGTTATGGGAGCATGGAGGACTTTGCGACTTGACAGATTTAACGTGCATCAGTCACCATTTACTACACGGGTAGTCTTCGGCTCTCTGGGATTGAACCCACGAACTCTTGAACATGGGCCCAGTGCCTTACCAGCCAGGCTATCCCGGCCTTGTAACCGATATAATGAAAATTATATCGTTCTATATCATTACGATAAATTCATTCAGTAAGTAATATAGTACAAAAAGTCAATACTTGACCGAGAGGACCCACGAAGGTTAAGGTTTTGTAATTTCGAAATCAACGGCGTGGTGATGGTAATGTGGTTAGCATCGACCAGAGGGTGTCTTTATTTCTCAAGTAAGTTAATACTCATCGAAAAAAGCAAACAGCCACCAACGATAGAACCCAGCTCTTTCACAGTTGAAGCGTAGTTCCATAGCTACTGAATCACCGTAGATCAAAGTCAAATATTTCTTTAAACAAGTTTTTGTTACCTTCATTTTTTAAATCAGAATATTCCTTTTATTTCATTTTAATTTAACATCATAATTTGAAAATTCAAAATGATTAATGCTAAATCACTAAAAAATAGAAAATAGTGCATAAAAGCACGTTTCATGTCGTTGCTATTTACAACTTTGATGAGTTAAATTATATTTTATTTTATCATAAAATACTAACTGAAAACAAGAAATGATTGAGAAATGATTGATAATGATTAATGCTAAATCATTAAAAAATAGAAAATAGTGCATAAAAGCACGTTTCATGTCGTTGCTATTTACAACATTGATGAGTTAAATTATATTTTATTTTATCATAAAATACTAACAAAAAACATGAAATGATTGAGAAATGATTGATAATGATTAATGCTAAATCATTAAAAAATAGAAAATAGTGCATAAAAGCACGTTTTATGTCGTTGCTATTTACAACATTGATGAGTTAAATTATATTTTATTTTATCATAAAATACTAAAATAAAACAAGAAATGATTGAGTTTACTAAATGAATATAACATTTCAATCAACCTATTTTTTCCCATAGACTTCTTACTTAAAACTTTTTTAGTTTACAAAATGTCTACTTGGCTCATTAAATTTTTTTCTAGAACAAAAATAATTTAATTTGAAGACAATGATAGTAAATTTCTATAATAATAAATCTAAGATCGAAGTTTTGCATAAAAGATTGGAAATAAATCACTTAGACACCAAAACTTTGGCTCGCGAATTTCCTTTATAATAGTTTCGAAAAGTTTTCTAAATTCTTACATCCCATCTTTTATTTATTCTATTTAAAAGAATAAAGATCCAACAGGAAATCCTAAAAAAATCGCGGACATGACCAGAAAGTTTGTGAAATATATTTTTATAGAAGATTGAAGTGAATACTATAAAACTTTTGAGAGACTGTAAATCTCTAGTGGATTAGAGCACAAAAATCTAAAGCTTAAAAGGAAAATATTATTCTACCTGAAAAGTATACATTTTGCTTCACATAAATATTTATAAAACGGTATGGAGAATAAAATGTTAAGAAAGTAAAAAAGCAAATTTTTTGTTTCTTGATAAAATGCTTTAAACTAAGCTATTGAATAAATATTATGTTTCATACAACATAAATAGATGAGTGTAACGTACAAATCAGCTATTTTAGGCAATAATAGGAAAACAATAATAAGGGAAGTTTTTTAATTCAAATAATGGTTTTAGAAGAGAAGAAAAAATACTAAGCTCAGAAAAAAAGTATGGTTAAAATTGCCAGAATATAGTAAAATTTACAGTATTTCTGGCTCTATGGGAACAATAAAAATGTCGATAATTTTTTGCCAAATTGCTTAGGTAATAATTTTGGGTAAATGAACTATAAAAATATTTTTTTATAAAATGCGATAAAATTTAGCAAAATGTGGTAATTTTATAGTGACACATTAGAAAGTAACATACAAAAAAAATTTTCTGTTTAAATTACTTTTCAGTTTTTTTATTTTTTACCAAATATGTAGTTATACGAACTATAATTTTTAAAACAGGAATTTCCGGTATACCGTTACTATATGAAAGAAAAAATTCCAAGTGGATGTTTAAAATATT